CTCGGCGGCTCGCATGAAGGCGCAAATGTGTACCCAGCAGCACGCACTTTTCACCAGGAATGTGTTCTTCTCTCCGCGCCCCCGTTCACCGTGCAAACCATGCTTGGATGCCAAGCGTGCCAGCACGCCCCTGCTTCGTATGGTGCAACGGGCTCAGCCGTTCCTAAAGGTTTCAAGGTGTACTTGTTTCCGAGGATCACTGAAATTGCTCGTGCAACGGCAACGGCAACAGGGGTTTTTCGATCTCCAGATCGCTTCATTTTGGCCGATCTTGGGGCACCCGCAACCTTCAACCTGAAACGCCCGCGCTGGGGCTGCCACCACGTCGACACGACGCGAACTCACCGTACCCTCGCTACGTCATCACTGCCGTCGTCGTCATCGTCGTGATCGTCGTCGTCACCGCCGTCGTTGTCGTCGTGGTCGTCGTCGTCGTCATCGTTGCCGTCGTCGTCGTGCAACGGCAAGGCTTTGGACTGACAACATTTCAAAAAGCTGAACAAGCCACCTGCCTTTACGCCGAGCGGGCAGGACAAGCGGCAAACATTCACTCCGTGCGAGGCCGCACAAGGCGAACCGGCTCGGCACCAAAACCAATCATCACTTACAGCGCAGGGACAGGCCACGATGCACACACGCTGCGAAGCCAGCGGCCGCGGACCATGTGCACCTGGCCCCACACGATCGTCACATCACCCTCCAGTATGCCTGCCCGCTCCTCGTCCTTCACGGCGGCGGGCAGGCTTCCAGTAACGGTGTCGTCGGTGGGCCCTCCTTCCAGGGTGACAACGCCGTCTGACCTCTTGTTATAATGTGCACGAGACACGAGAGCGATTCCTGGTCAGCCCGCCGGGTCCCTCCGGATTACAAGAAAGTTCCTAGAAAAATGCATGCCTACAGCCGCGTCCTCGGGGGTTACTCGGGAGGACCCTCGGGTTCCTCGGCGGCGTTGATTCACTTTGCATTGCTGTGTTGTGTAAGATGGAGTTGCAAAGTTATGCCTTGCTTTCAACTGGCTTGCGTTGCATCGCGTTCAGTTGCATTGCTCTGCGGTACTTTGCTTTGCGGCGAGTTCGGAAGCAGATTAAAAAGGGCCAGGCTGACTGTCGCACCGCGGGTTTCAAGGCCCCCCGGCCCTCAGCAAGTCCACACCTTGCCCTAACGGTAACTGGTTTCGGCTGCCGCCCTGGCCCGCATTCGACTTCGCAAGGTGAGGTTGCCCGACAGATTATCTTTCGACGTCGCGCAATTCCGGAAGCTGGACGCGCCACTTGTGCAGCCATCAGTGCGTCGCTTGCCCATGCACAGACCATGCACTGGTCGAGGGACCTACTGGTGCAACCACGGCCCCCTCTGTCACCAGCGGCTTGGCCACTCCATACCGCTCCAAGGGGTTCCTGGGTGGCCCCATCCCCCTGCCATGTGGCTAAAACGCGGCGGTGCCCATGCACCATGTTGTACCAAACGGGGTCTAAAGCAGCCCGCCATGTATCAGGCAGCCCACAATTTAGATGTTTTGCCTCCGTCTTCGACAGGGAATTCTGTTTACGTGCACGTGCCTCCCCCCCGGCCTACAGACCCCATCGAACCGCACCCACTGTTCCAGCAGCTGTAACAAACACCACAGCTCATATACCTCACATGGCTCCCGAAACCCCGTAGCTGCCACTGGCCCCGGACTACCACACCCAACATGACCTTACCCCCCCAAGACTTCATAGCCTCCTCGGAGCCCCCATAGACCCCACAGCTCACACACACACACACACACACAAACACAAACACAAACACAAACACAAAGAAACACACACACACACGCACACACACACACACACACACACACACACACACACACACACACACACACACACACACACACACACACGTTCACACACACACACACACACACACACACACACACACACACACACACGTTCGAACACGCGGTCGGGAGACAGAAGTTACACTAACGATTGTCAGACACGGCACGGCGTACTAACGCCGGGCAAACAAAAAGTGGAGCTGAGCAACAAGGAAAGAAGCGAAGGCAGGTCCGAAACCGGCCAGCATGAGTCAAAAGGACAAGGGGCCATCAAAAACAGGGGCAAGGAGGGCCGAGCAAAGCGAAGGGACAGAGCGACGAGCCAGCAACGACAGCCGAAAGACGGGAAGGGAGACGGACAGGACACGAGAGACGGCGGGCCGACCAACACGGGAGGGGAAGCAGGGAGACACCACACCGCGTGGGAAAAGTAAGAAACAAGGAGGGAAGGGAGGAGGAAAGCAGCCGAGGACGGAGGCGGGGAACCAGGCACACTTTTCGGCGTCGCGGCCCCGCGCGCGGCGACGGGGCGTAGAAAGTCGAGCGCAGGCAGCGGAGCGCGCGCGTCTATGCCCGGTCGAGCTCTCAGAAACCGCTTCGGGTCTCGCAGCCGGCAGCAGCCATGAACATCCCAGCCTGGATGGCGGAGAGGGGCGATGCACAGACGGAACAAGGACGAAGGTGAAAGGTGACATCAGCCAAAAGGAGCTGGAAGGCGGGGAGAGCGAATTAGCCAGTGCGGGGAGGGAATGCGGCAAAGCGACGGCGGAGAACGAGCTGAAGGCGGCAGAGCTGCGAAAAAGTCGCAAGCCGCGACAGCCAGCGGAGCCGGGCGGCGCGCCGGAAACGGCAGCGGCCCAGGGGCGCCCCCTGAGGGAGCGGCCCGAACTGGCCCCCCCAGAGAAAGGGGGTGGCACGGCATGGAGTGGAGAAGGTGAGAAGGAGCGCAGAAGGAAGCGGAGGCGGAGGAAGGCAGAGAGCGGCGAAGCGGTCCAGGACCACGGCAAACAGGGGCGGGACCGCGGCGGCAGCACAAGGGCTGCGGCGGGGAGGCACACCTGCGGAGGGACCGAGGAGGCCGCGCCGACCCAGGCAAGGAGGCAGCATGCGGCCGAAGCACTGCGGATCCAGGGAGGAGCACAGAGAGCGCGCATGGGCGCCCCTCTCGGGGCAGAACTGGCCGTTGCGAAGGGCGAGGTCCAAAACTGAAACAGTGGAGGGGCCGGTTCACCGCCACCTAACGCCCCAATCATTCCAGCAGGGGCAGTGGCCCGTCCTGCGAGGGCAAAGGCAACGAGAGGGTCCCCAGGAGGGCCCCAGCAGGTACCTCCAGAGGCTGGCGCGCACTGGGGGCCAAGGCGTCCTGGCTAGGCCGAGTGGGGCACAACAATTGGGCGGTGACCCAACGCTGGCAAACCGTCTGCCTTAGCTCACGCTGCCTCCGTGGCAGAGAACGCCGGCGCACACGAAGGCAAGGGGCCGCAGCGGGAGCCGCCGCCACTCCCGCGAATGGCGCTGGCAATCGAAGGCGGGGCAGGTCCCTCGTCGGACGCCGCGCCCTCTGCGGGGGGGGGGGGGGGGGGGGCACGTGGGGGCGAGGCGCCAGCCAGCAGGGCAAAGCCGAGGGAAGCGAGGAAACTCTCCAGGCCAGCACCAGAGTAGGCGCGCGGCAGCGGACAGGTGGCACCGTCGATGTTTGGCCCGCCCTTGGGCCGGCATCCTGCCCACGCGCTCCACTCGAGTGGCCAGCAGGGGCGGCGCCGCGGCAATGAGGCGCGATTTCTGTTGCAAGGAGACGCTGCATCTGGGCGTCCTCAGCACCGCCCGCAGATCCCAAGGAGGTGCCCGGCCCGTCCGCGGCAAGGCGCACGCGGGAGGGGCAGGACGGAGCGCGCGGAGACAAGCTGGCGCGGGGGCCGCAGCAGACACGGCTCGGGGGATGGCCAGAGGAGGGCCAGGCGCGGGGAGCGAAAGTGGTGCCAGAGCGACATCTGGGTCGACCCCCTTGCCCGCAGCCAGGGCGACCCAAGGCAAGCCCTCAGGGCCAGGGGGGAGGGAGGCAGCGGTGGCGGGAGCAGGGGGCCACGGGACAGCGACGCGTTCGAGGCGGAGGCGCCGCGGTCACAGCAGGCCCGACGAGCCCACGCAAACTGGGAGGTGGGCCTCCAGCCAGTGGAAAGAACACGCGAGGGACAGGAAGAGCCGTCGCCGAGAGCGGCAGCGGAGCACAATGGGGTGCGGGAGCCGCGGGTGGATCGCCCCTCGCGCCCTGGGCGCAGGGGCCGGCCACAGGGCCGATGGCGCCGCGGCCGCGGCCAACCAATGCGCCCCCCCGGTACCGGAGCGGTTTCGTCGGGAGCACGCGGCCGCGAAGCGGCGAGCGCCAGAGGACCTGCTGCGGGAAGCCGGCGCTGGAGACGCGCTGCCAGCGCGAGTGGCCGCGCCAGAGTAGGCCTCCTGGCGCCGAGGAGCTCCGCCGCAGGGGCCCGTTTCTCCTCGCGGCCCTTGCGGCGCCAACCCTGAAACCGCCATCTTTTTTTGGCCTCCGCTGCGGCGGCCACAGGCCGGACGCCCGCCGCGCGCCCTCGCCGCGCGCGCCCGGTCCGCGGACCCCCGCGGCGCCCCGGCTCACCCCCCCCCAGAGAGAAGTGGGCGAGGCGGAGCGCAGGGTGCCTCCGTCTAGGGTCGGGTCTTTCACCGCCCTTCGTAAGGCTCCCCTTGAGAAAGAAGAGAGCTCGCAGCCCACGCCGACCCACCCGCCCTAAGGCGCCCCTCGGCGACGGCGCCTGCCCTCGAATAGGAGGGCGGCCCCCCCAGCCAAATGGAGACGCTAGGGCGACGGCCCCGCGTGCGCGGCCAGCAGATAGAGAACAGGGCAAGAGAAGCAACAAGTGCAAGCAAAACAACAGGCACCACATGATGCAAACAGATGGATACAATGAGAGGACAACAAGCATGCAACATCGCACCGCTGCTCCCCTTCTCCGAGTGCATACCACGCAAGAGCGGCGACGAGACAAGGGACAACACTAAAACCAACGAGACGACGGAGAGGGCGACGACGACGACGACGACGACGACGACGACGACGACGACGACGACGACGACGACGACGACGACGCGACGACAGAGACAACAGCCCCCTCGCAGGTCAGCCGAAAACTGCCTGACAGAGGCG